AATATTTAATTTAAATCTTGACAATTAAAGGAGGCATATTATCAAATGTCATTTGGACAGAAAATAATATATCTACGTCGTTTACTTGGATATTACTTATTATATGATAACTATGAAAAACGGAAAATAGATAGACAGGTAAGATCAAAATTAAAAACTCAAAATTTAAAAATTAAAAGACCGATTTATACAAAAATAAATTAGTTACGGCAAATAATATTATAATTTTCTTGGTACATTCCTGCCTTGATAACTCAAATTAAATTAATGCTATAATAAAAAGCTGCTGATAACGACACTAGGGTTGTAAGAACCGAAGTTTTTTCGATTCGGTTCTCTGTATTGAAAAAATGCTTGAATATAGCATACTTTTATCATCTATGACCCATTGTTTACGTTTTAGATATTTAGTTATTTATCAACAGAACGTCGACTTCTCAAAAAACAAAATAATGAACAGTTACTTTCACGTTTGGGTGATAGATTCCAATCTGCAATAGATGATATTCAAAATCCTTTCGATTGTTATAAAGCACGCATTCTTGTGTGTCCGGTAAGACAAGCTTAGTTGTGTATGTAAAAATGCCCATACATAGTATAAGGGCAATCCCGGAGAATTGGGGTCCCTGCGAAAAAAAGTTTAAAATTAAGAAAAGTATTTTTTTAGGGTAAAAAATATGCTGATTACGAATCTGAACTCACCCCAATTCTCCGGCATTGCCCATATAAGGGTATTTCATTTAAATAACCCCCAAATTCTGACAATTTGAATAAAGTTATGCCAAAAATAAGTTTTTTCTTTTTGTGTGCAATTAAATTTTGCAATTAAATTTCTAATGAAATTTTTTAATAGATTGATGCTCCTAATTGGGGTTTTGGCTTTGTGACGCATCAAATTCGGTAATTTATATCTTTCAAGTCAAATAATTTGTATTTACTGTTATCTCTCAACATTTTCCATGTCTCCTTTCCATGCGAAAAATCGCTAAGCTGAGTAAAATCAAACAAAAATTAATTAACAATCCCGACCGGGATCCCGATTCCGCTGAACTCTAGAGATAACTGACTCGGCTTCCACTCACTCGGCTTCAACAATTTCACCATCATTTTCTCGAAATACTCCTGCTGAGCCTTTAGCAATTTCTCAACTGTTTTTGCATCCATTTTCACTCACTAAAATAAACTTTTTATCACTACACTTTCTAAACACTACAATTTCACTAACCTTTTCGGTTTTACAACACTGCACTATTATCCACACTTTTTACGTTCCTTGAACTGCACACAGCTTACGTTGACGACACACAGCTTACTGAAGTTGACGAACTGACGACTGGTTCTTTTTGAACACGACCGCGCCAAATCTGTTACGACCCCGGTTACGCAGAGGAAGCTAACAGAAACGTTTATTGCACAAAGAAATACAAAGCAGACGAAGGTTGTAGGAAGAACTAAAAACTGAGACGACGAACTAACTATTGGCTGGGCTTTTATACTAACACTTTAAGGGCTGACGCCCATACACAACACCTACCATATAAAATTACAAAAATTTTATTAATCATTCTTAATAACCAACAGTATTTGTCTTCTATATGCTTTAGAATCAAGAAGAACGATGGTAATAAAAAATTTGAAAAGATTTTACAAATATTCTGTCAAATGGTTTAATTTATTTGATTCAACTTCAAATTGTAGTTATGCAAAGCATGTAAATGTTTTAAATAATCATTGTAATATTCTAGTAGCACCCGCACTCCAAATATTTTTTAGAAAAAGGATTCACAAGAGACAGTTTTTGATAAGGACACGTCCTTCAAAGTCAATTATTTTTGTATTTAACTGTTTTGTAACCCCCGGGCCTGGGACCGGCTTTTCCGGGCCCGGTAGCCCGGAAACCGGGTATATTGATAAAATCCGGTTTTTCCGGATTTGTGAGGTCTTTAGCCCGGAAGCCCGGTCCGGGTCAACTGGTGAGAAAAAACCCGGATACCGGCCCGGCAAAGTGAAAAGTTCGAGCTCTAATTAAATATCTGGTAATATGCAAGGAAATGTAGGAGATCTGAGAAAAACTAAAATTTGTTCAATTACCTATATATTTATCATACTTTTATTTGGACTAACATTAGTAAATTATTCTCATTCCTAGGTTCGTCCATTCGTTCCATTAAATGAATATTTGGATTTAGAACAAACTGAGAGAATATTAATTTTTCAATTTCGTCAAGATTTGGTGAGTCTGCTTAGATTTTGAGTATTCTAATTGATCATTTCGATCTTATAATTGATATAATCATGATAGGATATGATTTTTATTATATACATTTTGTACCTTATTTTAAATATCCGGTTTGTGGAAAAATAAGCCAACGGATACATAACCAGAAAACTATAAAATAGTAGAAAAATTAATATCTACTTGCTTAATTACCCTAAGTTTCGCCCAAAAGCTGCAGTATATATGGGCATATAGGGATATAAAATGGACATAGAGGGATCTGTGGATTAAGATTGGTCGATGGAGGAATCGTTCTTAAGTGTGGAGGAATGGAACTTACAGAGTTCGGAATGAATTCCTTGAAATTGGCAAAAACTCCCATAATCACTCAACCTCTTTCCTTTTTAATCATCGATATCCCTCAGTCGCCTTAACCAACTTTGGACCTGAGAGACTCTCTTAAGAGAGTGACTCTTTAAGAGACTTTAACTCGTAATGCCTCAAAATCAACCGATACATGTTAAAGCTCCGAAACTGGTCAGAGTACAGGAAAAAGTATTTGAAAAGTCTGAATTCTATATAGTTTAAATATTTGAACCTAGAACAATATAATTTAAAAATATTAAGAGAATTCGTGCATTTGATTATATACCACAACAACTAAAAAAGATTTTTAAATACCATTCAAATCCTTCACACTGGTTCCATGGGCAAGTAAGAAAACAAATCTTATATTTACTAAAAATTTTTTGTAGCTAATCAGATATATTTGGAAAGAAAATAAAAAAACAGAAAAATTTGTAAAACAAATGATTTCGAGAATTCCATTTGAATGCGGTACTGTAATATTTTCTAAATTAAAATTAGAGTTGGTCGGGGTCGGAATCGAGGTCGAGATTGAGCGAGATTATCCCGGTTTTTTGAATCCCGACCCTGATTTTTATGATCCCGATACCGAGCCGTGATCGGTATAGGATTTTTAAACAAAATAACTCAGCGAAAGGAGTGAGGTGTGAGAAGTGAGTGTGGCTTTCTTTGCCTTCTAAATTTCTCAAAATTTTCGCCTGCGGTGCTGAAGCCTGCATACGATAATCCCTTTTTATCACACCCAAATTCCTTCATCCCATATTAATCGCCTGATAAGCTGCGCCGTTTTGGCTTGAATCAATATTTCAGCACCACAGGTGAATATTTTGAAATTACATATATAGAGACAAAAGTAAAATAAATGTTTAAAAATTTTTTAGTAAATACCGATAGCGATTTCTGCCAATCCCTATCCCGCAGTCGGGATCGGGGTCGTTATTGCGAAACCCCAATATCACCCAACTCTGATTAAAACTAAAAATATGATAGAAATTATTTCTCATTTAATAATTTTATAGGACCTATTGTTGGTATTCATGTAAGACGAACAGATAAGATAACTGAAACAAAATTGCGTAAACTTGAAGAATATATGGTAAGAACAAATAAAATTATATTCCAGTTAATACACACAAGTGATCTTCCCGTTCACGATTCTTGAAATTTTTTGACAATTCAGGAATTTTCAGTATTTTCATACCATAGTTCCTAAAAAGTTGGGTGGAAACGTGTATTTCTTTTTTATCTCGCATTAATTCAAAATAAGTAGAAGGATAAGGTACCCAGAAATGCAATACGAAACTAAACTTTTTCACGTAAAATACCGTATTTTTCCAAATAAAGCCCCATTCTCAATTAGAGCCCCATTCTCTATTACAGCCCCAGTCTGGAGGATGGTTGAAAAATAAAGCCCCATTCCCTATTAGAGCCCGACTCCCTAATACAGCCCCACTATTGTGTCTTTTTAAATTAAAAAATTGAGACATCCTGAAAGCCTTCTAATCAAGAAACTATTTTGATCAAAAAAATTCTTTTTTATTTATTAATCGGGATTTGAAAGTCTTCTTAATCTCTCCAAATCCATAGATATCCCTTCAAATTCCATCAAAATACCCAAATATCTGCTTAAACCTCCTATATACTTCAACACTAATATCTACGATACTATAGAGCGGAAAGGCTTAATTTTTAAAATCCTCCGATATCCGTTAAATCCTTCATATCTCACAAAATCCCTCCAAATCCAAATATTCCCTGATATTACTCGTAATTCGACGGCATCTCTCCAAATCTACGACATCCACTTAAATCCTCAAGTTATCACCCAAATCCCTCTAAAAGATTAATCCAGATTCTCGATAATTCTATATATCACCCAAAATCTCTCTATATTCCATAAAACCCTCCAAATCCCCCGATTGTGTTGACACAAAGTCAGAAGGAATTAAAGGTCTTGGTAGAAAAAAATAAAAAAATATAGTTGAAATATAGAGCCTCATTCTCTATTAGAGCCCCATTCTCTAATACAGCCCCAGTCTGGAGGATAGTTGAAAAATACAGCCCCATGGGGCTGTATTTGGAAAAATACGGTAACTAATATATTCTTATCTTTGGCCTCCTAGAATCCAAGAATTTTTATAATTTTTTATATCGTTGAGACGATGTTATATAATTTCATTTTTTGGTTATTCGAGTTATTTGTTTAGTCATCTTTAACAATATCCAAATAAATTGTAGATGGACTATTCCATGAATTTTAGACTCAGGAAATATTAACTGATTTGACATGATACCCCTTTAATTTTTACCCGAATTTTCCCCTTAATTTTTCAAATACACTGCCCCTGATTCTCATGATACTTTCTTCCAGCATTAGAATTAAAAATAAAGGTCCTAGGTTGTTATTGAAATAATTAATGCTGCTATTTTTGAAGGAATGGGTTGACTCCTGGTATGAAGTTATGAACGAATACAATCAAACTGACTTAGAATCTTCAAATTGCACAAATCGACGAAAGTTGTTCATTGCATCAGATGAACTTAAAGATGTGGTAAAAGAGGCTAAGATTAGATGGGGAAATAAATATGAAATTTATCACGGACCATTTAACACAAAAAGTATGTTATATAAAAATATATAAACATTAATGACTGTCCTGTATATGGTTTCCTAAATTGACCGACTTGGACCGAAAGTGTACTGTCTGACTCGATAAAAAGGCCTCAAAGTGACTCGAAGAATTTAGCGATAAAAAATGACTCGACGTCCCGGACCGATAAATCGCGGCTGAAAAAAGTTGCATCGACCTTCGGCCTGACTCGAAAACGGTAACCATAATCTTGTATAAGAAAAGAGTCATAGACTAGTCATTAAATTAGTCATATTTTTCAAAAATATCGTATCAAGCTGGTTTTGTTACCTTTCATTTAGATTCCGAGTTTTTTCGAGCCAACTATCATGTAGAAGAGGAAAACTGGATAATAGAGGAGATAACCAACATGTATCATTAATTTTCCTAATTAAATTCATTAGATGATTCGTGGCAAGCTTTGGCTGAATTAATATCTGTTTCACATATTCTTTCTAGATGTAGATTTTTAGTGTGTACTTTAAGTAGTAATGTAAGTGAATTTTATTGTTAATTACACCGTTTCGGAATTCTACTACATCGAATTTTGGAATTCTATTAGGTCTAAATGAAAAAAGCGAGGGTGGATCCAGCCAACCTAAAAACGTTTTTAATAAGTGTTTGGCTCCTTGGCCTACAAATTCTCAAAATTTTCGCCTAAACGTCGATGGCGATACAACTATTTTTCAATTTATACTAGTTCCGAGGTTGACGGATTAAAAAAATCTGGATTTATTAAACATACCCAGTCATTGTGATAAATACACAAAAATGTCCTGGAACCAAGCCGGGTTCTAACCCGGAATTTACATATAACTAACCCAAATTTATTTCAAACTTAATCCAATTAAATAACAGTTTTGTCGAGTAAGTTATGAGCTTATGCAAACAATTCAAGGCGATGCTAGTGATAATGTACATTCCCTTGACTATTTTTATTCAGAATTGTGGTTTGGTAAATTGTTTTTACTAAATCACAGTACAAAGAAAAATTTAAATTTCTAGAGGATGAAATGGAGGCGACTGTTGATTACAAACCTAAACAAGGTATTATTATATGAATGGCTTTTTGACCTTCCAAAATTCTCAAAATTTTCGCCCACGGCGCTAAAAAGGAAAAAAACTGGCGAAAAATCCAAATTTTTTCTTAAGTACGAGATGCAAATTATTTGTTTTTATTTAGAATATCCTATGAGTCCATATGAATTGTGGGCTGAAAAGGGAGATGTTATTGGTAAGTCAAATTATAGATAAATATGGTTTGTAATTGAAAGTATGCTAATGATCCAAAATGCTTTTAATAACAAGCTGCTAGTATCATTTTAAACACCTAGCATGTTTTTTCAGTGTTAAAAATTTTAATATCCGTAACGGTTTTGGGATATATCCTATACATAAATAAAAATAATTTTGAGAATTTTGGAAGGCCAAATAAGTTACCGTATTTCCTATATTAGAGCCCCACCCTCTGTTAGAGCCCCACCCTCTAATACAGCCCCACTTTGGAGGATAGTTGAAAAATAGAGCCCCACCCTCAATTAGAGCCCCACCCCAAATACAGCCCCACCTAAAAAATATTGGAGGAAAAAATATCAGAATAACTTTTAAGATGTATGTATTAAGAGAGTTAAGGAAATAAAGGGGGATATCTATGATTTCGTGATCATTGAGGAGGAGGGATCATGGGGATTAGGGATGAAAATGAGGGATTAATCCCGTTATCCGTCAAAATACTCTAATATCGCCTATATTCCTCTAAATTCCTCCTATTACCTCCAAAATCTAATCATTTTATAAAGGGTTGCAATCGTGTTAGGCACTTGATGATAATTCGCGAGATTATTAGAGATCTATTAGATATCTAATCAGTGATATCTAACCAAAATTTCTCTGGAACCGATTTCAGTTACGTAACTGCTATTTGTATTTCTTCAGTTCCAGTTCTGGAACCTGTTCCAAAGCTTTATCAAACAAATCCCTTCATATGCCTCCTAATACCCCTAGTCCAGAATATCCCTCATAATCCCTCTAAATCTCTCAATATAAACTTAATCCTCTGATATTCCCCATAATCCCTTAAAATCCATTTTTATCCCTCTAATCCATCAATGTCAAATAAAAGTCCCATAATATTTCCTTTAATCCGTCCAAATCTACCGATATTTAATAGATAATCTCACTCTCATTGAACTATTGGGACTATTTTGTAATTCATTGCTTAAAAAGTTTTGGTTTTTCTTGAAAAATCGAAAAATATAGATTCTCTTTCGATATTTTGCGGCTTTATCGACCAAACCCTCCGACTTATCTCTAGTTGCAATGGATACAATAAATGGGATTCTATCTCAAAAGAGGGTTGAAAAATAAAGCCCCACCCTCAATTAGAGCCCCACCCTTTAATACAGCCCCACCTTGGAGGATAGTTGAAAATTAGAGCCCCATGGGGCTCTAATATAGGAAATACGGTAATCTGTTTAGAGCGAAGCGAAATTTTAGAATGTTGGAAGGGCAATATATCATCAATGTTATCCAAACGAGATGTAAAGTAGAAGCGGGTTCTTGTTATGCATTCTTAACAATCTGCTTTTACTCGTAGTTAAACTTTAAAATTTTGTTTCGTTGTTTGTTTCAACGGAATAAATTTTCTGTGATAAAGAAAAAAGACTGTGCTATGTATCATCTATCTGAAAACCCAAAATTTGTTTACCCCGAAACGCTAGAATGGAGGTTGACATGTAAATTGCGCGGAACCGTACGATTTATTGTAAGAAAATATCTGAATGTTTTCAAGGCGAAGATATATCACTCATACTATATACAGTACTCTAAAATTTTGAGCACATAAATTCGTCGATGGGCTTTGTTTAAAAATTTTTTGAATTCGTGTGTTTTTCATTGATTTTTGTAACCTTAATAGTCTCTTGTGCTCGGTCTAAACGTGATTAGGTATTATGGCACCTTAAAATCGAAAAATTTTGGCCTTTACCGTTAATATACACATAAAAATATATATTCTTGGCCTTCCAAAATTTTCATTTGCGGGACTAAAAATGAGAATTCACTTTAGCTTGATGTAGTAATGTGGATTGAAGGGATTAAACCAGATTTGGAGGGATTAGAGGCATATCAAAAATATTCTGGGATTAAATATGTGACTCAGATCAAAAATCTGATCTCACGGATCAAGGGCAAGGTTTTTTAAGATTGCCTATCTCTATTATAAAGTACAAAAGTTTCGCTCCCCCTGCTTTTCAGTGAGGGCTTTCTGAGATTCGGTAAATGCCAATTCGATTAATATAACTACATATCCAATAATTAATTTATTAATTTATATAACAGTTGTTAAAAGTCCAGTTTTTCAAAATTTCTATGTTCGTGGAAGGAATCCTCGTTTAAATAGTGAAGGACGATTTCCAATGTATCTTCTTAAGGAACATTTTAAATTTGAAGACTCATCAGATTTTATTAATATTTTTGCTCCAACTAGGGAAACAAATATTAATTAAATTATTTATTAAAAGTATACGTCCCTGGAAATTACAATTTTAGGAAAAATTTAATTTTTTCAGAAAATTTCTAATTTTCCTAAAGATAAAGAAAATTTCAATCATTTATAAAGTTCAACTTTTGGGAAAATTTGTATTTTTCCTAAAATTAAAATTTTCTTGAGAATATACATGTTATAAATTTGCATAAATACTTAAAAGAATTTGTATTTTTGCTAATGTGATATGTATACTTACTGTATGGCTCTACTATTAGTACGCTCTTTTGCGTTCTGCAAGCAGACAGATCTGCGCAAAAATAAAATTTCGTTCTCAAGGAAACAAAACTGGAAAAATGGGGCTTAAGATCCAAAGAAGGCTTAAGATCCTTCTAAATTTATGAGTCTAATGAATGTTTATGAGTCGCATAAGAATTTGATGTAAGAAAATATTATGAGTCAATATGAAAATAAAAAAATCTTAGAATTACCGTCTTTTTCAATAAATTAGATAATCTAAAAAATTTTGTTATTATTATGAAACGGCTATCTATCAGCAACATAGATTTCTAAGTCTTGATTTAAAAATATGACAAAAAATGTCTGAAAATACTCAATTTTTTCCTTTATTTTTGTCGTCATTTTTACGAAACTAAACAAACAAAAATATTTCTTTACCAAAACTGAAATTTTTAATAATTCAAAGAAATTCTAATTCATTTAGGTACTTTGGCAAGTATAGTTTTTTAAATTACTTCGTTTTGTCGACCTCCAAAGTCGTTCGATGTTCTGCGTATGTATTTTTTTTATCTGTAGGATTAATGAAATTTTTTGAGTGATGTGTATAAATTGGCTTACCACTTTTTAGAATCCGAGGAATGACATTGTATCCTTTCTAAGTATCCGTCATAATCGGATTAGCTTCATTAACGTGATTCCTTTTATATTTGGTACCACTTCGACCTAAACTTTTTTTCACGCATGTAACTACAAAAATTAACTGTAGTAGTAAACCCCATCCCCATCTCGCGCTGACAAAATTTTATTGAGTGGGACTCGACACTCCACCAAAAAATGAACTTTAATATTAAAAAAAATTAACTTACTTCCCAGTTTATCACTCTTGAACCATGTTTTAGTTTGAATTTCTCTTGTACATTTGCATTTTTTTTGCTTTACATCTCCATACATAAGAACCAAGAGCTGTAGAAAAACCTGCGCACATATCGCAGATTCGCTGTCGACGCACAATCCAACGTTGTTGAATAAAAGTACACAACAAAGCTCATCTTTGTTTGATTAATTGATCATAATTCATTTTTATTCAGTTGAGGATTAAATACCACTTCTAACTTGTCTTATAATTTTTGATGGAAACAAATGATTGGCAGTTATAAGGGAAAATTAATTTGAGACTCAAGTAGGAAGGGGGGGGGGTGGTTTATGAACAAAGTACCACTGATTGTAGAGGTGGTTGGAAGTCTTTATCTAAACTTTATTCAAGATATCTTTTTATATTCTTCGAATAAATCATCATTTTTGCAACAAGTTTACTTTTTTTAAATTAATCTTAATTATTAATCTTTAAATGAAAATCAAAAAAAAGAAGAAACTGCATATTAATATTGAATTAAAAAAATATGGAGATTTTAATCTGTTCAATGTTTCCTTTGTTTTTATTTAAAAAATGAATTAATAAATATACTCTTATCCCCAAAAAAAGACCAAAATTTTAAAATTATTAATAATTTCCTTTTTAATAATTATGGAATTGTGGAAATATTTTAGGCGGATTTATTACCTTTTCAAACGCCGTTTTATATTAAGAACTACTAAAAAACTTATTTTAATTCCAATACTTATTTTAATGTTTATCAATGCTCCTCCCTATAATGTAGAAATTAAATTATCAGAAAAAAAGGAGAAAGAAAAACAAATTTTTAAATTTTTAAAATTAAATAATAAATCGAGAATATATTGGCATCAATGGCTAGAACCTTTAAATTTCAGGAAAAAAATTCCAGAATTTGATAGGTTTATCTTAACTGAATATATGGATGGTCAATTAGGTAATCAGGTATGTTAATTTATGTCAATCAGAGGTGGGTCGGGTAGTCGATTACTGGTTGTAAGGTTGATATTTTGCTGATTTTTCTCGTATTTGTAATTAAGTTGAAGTAATTTATGAGTAATTAAATTTTGGAATAATTTCGGTATCGAAAGAGCTCACCGAGATGAGTCGATGGTACCAAAATTATATGGTTTCAATTTTTCATATGGATAACCGCACCGGTTAGCCCATTGGAAAGATCTTGTGTCGATTTGATTAAATTGACATCAAAATCAACAAATCTGACGTGATTGGACAAAGATATGAGCGGTTGTTTACCACCTTCCACAAGGCCTCTGAGGAAAAAATTACAAGACATTCCTAATTTTCTAACATAAAATAAAAAAATCTAAACAAACGTTCAATCACATAATTGCAAGGATTAGCCTTATTCGGAAGCATCATGCCTTAGTACATGCTTTAGTAGGAAAGTACAATATTTGACCAATTACACAATTAATTTTTGCCATCTTTTCATTCATTTAATCAAATTACCTAATATAGATGTTCCGGTTCGCTTCACTTTATGCAATGGGTCAATTGCTAGAACGAACACCTGTTTACTTCTTGGATAAAAAAATAATACAACTTATTGAAAAAGAATTGAAAGAAGTCTTTCCTAACTTTTATTCACGTATCTACTATTTGGTAGTTAAAATATATAAAATCAGTGGCAAATACGGATCATTGGAGAAATTATAGTTTACTGGGGTAATTAGGTTACTAGGGGGATTAGGCCGTCTTATCAAAACTTACTCATTTTCGAATGCCCTAACAATTAAAGTTCATTAAAATTCTATACACGTGCCATAATCTTTAAATTGGTTTCAGGAGTTTGACTTTTAATAACCCATTTTAGATAAAATGACTAAAGCTGTCTTAATTGTATTTCGGTTCACTCAAAGTATACTATAGATAAAATTGATCAAACGTTTTCTAATAATAATTACGACAGCGAGGGGTTTTAAGGCTCTAAAGATCATATACTGTATTTTCTCGATTAATTCCCCTCCCTCGAATAATTCCCCCTCTCGATTAATTCCCCATGCTAGAGTTGGGTCGAAACAATAATTCCCCACCCACAAATACCCCACTGCACGTTCAAATGCCAAAACTCGAATAATTCCCCTACCTCGATTAATTCCCCATGCCAAGAAAGGGTTGAAAAAATAAATCCCCAGAGGAATTAATCGAGAAAATACGGTAATATAGATTCCTTAACATTTCTACATTATATTGCTACTTTTTTATAATTAGAAGGATGATTTTGATGATATATATAAATTATATTTTGCAAGACATTGTTGTGACTATAATGATCCAAAAATGTTTGTAATTTTTTAAAGTTTAAAATTAGAGATGATCTAATTTATATTTACTTCATTTTTTAGACTATTGAGTCAGGAAAGTAGAGTTTTAATGTTAACAGGTGGTCCCAATTTCATAAATGTGCAATATTTTGATCATATGCGATTAAGAATACTTGAACTATTTAAATTTAGTTCGAGGGTTGTTAGGAAATGCTCTTATATTCACAAGAAATTGTTTAGGTAAAAATTCAGAAATCAAACTAGATTAAAAATTAATGACAATTATAGTAACGATAGTTCCTACAAAATTTGTGTCCACACAAGAGTTGGTGATTTTACTGGATTTGGTGAATCTATTGTTGAAGAAGTTAGCGATGCTATAACAAGAATATTAATTATACTAAAAAGTCACATGGTTTAATATTTAGTTTGGATATACTATAGTATATCGCAGGCAAAAAAGCAATTATCATTCGATTCCTCTCGGCGGACTGAGTCGAACGGACCTACTTTTCCGGTAAGGAAATGCCTGTCGACCGAGATATAGGTACCCGAAAATTGAAAAACAATATGTGGTAGTAATCACAATTTGTGTCAATAGGGGCTAATTCAAGAAAACTCGTCGAGTTGGATAGATTGGTATTGAAATAACCTTGAGGCCGTCGCCCCGCTCGATATGCCCGGCTTCATCCACAGCAGCAAATACTTTCACCCGCGAAGGCCTAATTGAGGGGTTAAAATAAATGGTCATAACTTTGTTTAGAATCAACTAATCAGGCTGAGTTTCGTACTTTTCGACCCAGCTCACCAAGAGGAATCGAAAGGTATGTGTTTTGTATCGAAATTTTGCCTCCGGTATACTATACTACAGCCTTCTATTTATGTTTCCACAAATTCTTAATTTTTAGAAAAATTCGAAAAGAAAATTTACTTTGCTAATGTTCGGAATGGACAAAAACTTTTTACAGTCAATAAAAGTTGACGGGGTACTAAGCATTTTTTCTAATAATTTTTAAAAATTTTTAGTCAATAAATAAAATAATTTATGTTATTGATGCAAATCTGACACGTGGAGAGGAATTAAATTTTGCTAGTCAAAGTTGTGATTCTTTTTTATCTACAGCTTCACTATCTTCTTATGCATTTTGGATGGGGTTTTTAATGCCTAATGTTAAATTTTTATAATTTATAAGTAATAAATTTGGCACAACTTTAGTCTGTGAAGGGCTCTTATAGTTCATAGATAATTTTAAAATAATCGCTCACCCCAACCGGTTTAATAGACACACATTCTACAGTAACGCCATAACTTTTAATAAGTATTTAAAATATTTTAGAATCGCCCAATATTTTACTTGCCGAGAAAATTTTACGGACTCAGTACAAAACAAATGCTTCCAAAAAGTTGGATTTCTCTAGAGAAAGATTGGATTGTATATACAAAGAAAAATTAATTATCGAAAATGATCATTAGCTTCTTCCCCATCATATTGATCGTCTATCTTTATTATTATTTTTTTTATTATTATACCTCAAACTCTTTTTGTCATAGAATTAATTAAGTCAATAAAGAAAAAGATACGAGTGGCAAATTAACACTATGAAATCTCTTATGCCCATGGAGTGAAATTGATGAAGAAGTCTGACTATTATGTACATATATATGGTCTCTTAATATATCTGCAAGAGACTTAATATGTCAAGCCTTTGGCGAGGGGGATCGAGACACCTTGGGGATCGAGACATTTTTACGAGATCTCGATTCTCGTACGACCCTCCCAATCCGATCTCTATCATAAGTTTACATGTTAATATCCTAAAGGAATCTTCACTATTGTTTGTCATGCACATCATAAAGTGAGCATTGACAGAGCTCTCTAGATCACGTTTTAAGAATAACGAATAAACCATCAAACGTCGAAAAAGATTGCTATTTTGATTAACTTATTTATTTAATCCTTTATAATCCAGATTCGGACATATGTATAACTTATTGAGTGCTAAGCAAAAAATTAGTCAAACATTGTTTTTCATAATAAAAAGGCAATGTAACGTTCTGCAAAAAACCGAAAATTTAGCTAAAACTTTTAGTTCAATAAAAAAATGCAAATGCATTTTTTCAAGCTGGCATGCTGTATAATGCACATAAACACATTTTCCGCATGTTTTAAAAACTTTAGAGGGGGTGCGAATACATGGGAGTGGGGGGGGGGGGATGTGGCAGAACAGAAATTACCTTACGAGGTTGTGAGAATTAAGAGGACTAGAGAAACTGAGTGGATCATCCAATTTTTGGAAGGATAGGATTTCTTTCTTTTATAGAAAAAGGTACCATAGAAAATGTCGGGTTTAAGGTTAGATTATCGGATAGTAAAGCGTAACATCCCTGTTATCTAATACAGCGGCATTAACAATTCCTTATCCGCAACCGGCAATGTTTACCATCTTAATGAGAATTTCGGTTCCAGACCCGGATATAAGGGAATTTGTTAATATGGATATCAGGTCTTAGGATTTTGCTTAGGATATCGGATACTGATATCCGGTCTACCTGGGATTTGCTACCTCTAGTTTGGCACCTTTACACCACTCATAATTGTAGGGAAACTTTTGTTCACATACAATATGAAATTTTTATTTTAATTATCAATAAGAAATTCCATCTTTTTCGGGTTTCCTCTTCCATCTTTTTTCTTCCGGATTTTTATTTAAATTAATTTAACATTAACAGTATGTTAATTTGTCTCATTATTATTTTTTGGAGAAGGATATCAGAAAATTTTCCAAGAACCGCAACCCTAATTAAAATGATTTTGAAGAGATTGATTTACAGAATTATAATAATCTTAGTGATTGTTATTTTTATATTCTTGCCTGCCATTAAATGTATGTTTTCATTTACGTGAATTTGGTGGGATTTCTGTGGATTTGAGTGGATTAAGAGGACTTTTTGAGGATTAAGAGTGATATACAGGCGACAATTATGCGAATTTTAGAAAGCCAAGAAGCCAGATTCCCTCAATTTTAAAGATAATATAAGGAATCCAAGATGTTTAATTATTAGGGGTGTAAAGACAAAGAATACACCCCAGGACCGAAAAAACTCCAAGTTATGGACGGCACACCCCAGGGCCGAGAAATTTGAATTGCTAGATTATATTTGTAGTGGTTAAGTTTTTATTCGGCGCAATCAAAGCATAGATTTATAATATGGCCATGAAAAATATGCGACCATCTAATATTAAAATTTGTTTGTCATAACACGAACAAAACCTTACTCGTAAATCTGCCCTATACCCTTCATTTGTCTCATAAACTAGTCCATTTATGTGAAAAGACTGATGATATCATTGGAAAAGAAAATCAAAATTCAACAATTATTTTTGAGAAAAAAATCAAGTATCTACTAAGATCATTCCCACCTCCATTTAAAAATACAACAAAATATCTTCTAATGCAAATTCCACAACATTGGAATGGTGATTGTGGTGGTTTAGCAAATCAAGTAATTATTTAGATTATTTAAACTAGGGTTCTATAATACTTGAATACATCTTTTCATCAAATTTTATGAAATATTTTAACGAAGAATTCAACTAACTTCTGAATTCTTTTTATATAGATGTGGCGCTATGCAGTGATTTATAGTTTAGCAAAATCAACTGGTCGTTTTCCTGGTATTTCATATGCAAGCACATGGACCTGTGATAAACTCAATAGTCCAAGGGAAATTGAAAGAACTTTTCCACTTTACCATGCAGTTCAATATTATTTTGTATGTAAATATAATATTTATACAC